GACAGGATAAATAACATAAATACAGAACGTGCTTGGCAGGCTCTCCTGTCTAAAACGATCACCTCTACAAACACACAAATAGCACCGTAATATTAGTCAGCTGGGGCTGCTGTAACAAATTCTACAGATGGGGCGGCTTAAACGATAGGAATTTATTTCTGCACAGTTCTGGAGGCTGGATGTCCCAGATCAAGGGGTCAGCAAGACTGGTTTCTCCTGAAGGCACTCTCCTTGGCTTGAATACAGCCACTTTTCGACTATGTCCTCCCATGGCCTTTCCACTGTGTGTGCAAGAATCCTTGGTGTCTCTTCCTCTTCATATTAGGACACCAATCAGGTTGGACTAGAGCCCCATTTAATTTTGCTACCTCTATAAAAGCCCTATCTCCAAATATGGTCACATTTTGAGGAACTGGGGATTAGGGTTTCAATATATGAATTTGGGGGGACAAAATGCAGCCCATACCACCAGCCCACCTGGACAATTCCAGTAAGAAAAGTTTCTTTGCCAAAAGGCTTCAGAAGGAAATTCATTGCTTTTCCTCCCCTAAAAGTGTCAACATTTCCAAAGCATGGAGGTTGCGAAAAATCTTAATTTCTAGAATTAAGAAAACTTGGAAAATCGAAGTAAAAAATATTACATGTAATAAGAATGGTGCTTTACCTCTGCGGTCTTCCTCCCAAAAAACCAGAACCTCGGTCTAACCATGACAAAAATATCAGACAAATCCCAGTAAGCAGAGCAGTCTACAAAACAGCCAACCAGCCCTGCTCAAAATGGTCAGGGTCAGCAAAACAAGGAAAGTCTGAGAATTGGTCACTGTCAAGAGCAGCCCAAGGCCAGAAGAGGACGAAACACAATGTAGCCCCTTGGAGAAATCCTGCAACAGAAAAGGACATCAGGGTTTGGAAACTAAGGAAATCTGAATAAAGTATGAGCTTATTAGTCATTATCAATGTTGGCTCATTGACTGGGAAAACTCAGTGTCCTAACATAAAATGCTGACAACAGGAATGCTCTGTGTCAGCTGTGAGCCCTCTCTGTACATCAAAAACTCTTTCCGAAGTACAACTTTTATAACAAGCAGCAACAATGTATGTGCAGAAGCCATGCGAAACCAGCCTCATGAGTGACCAGCACTCTTCTCCTGTCTGGAGACCCCGGGGACTCCTGTGTTCCTGAGAAGGGGGGACAACAGGCCACAGGTATTCTTCAGGGCACGCTGGGTTACGAGCCCCCACCAGGCGGACGGATGGCACCCTGCATCTCTGACAGGCAGGACAGGGTCAGAAAAGGTCACAGAAGCAAGGGGGACAGATCTCAGCTTTCTTTCCCTTCCTCCCAAGACAAGCCCCAGTCCACCCCTAGGATAGGGAGTAGGGAAGGGGTAGGAAAAGAGAGGCAGAGCAGGTTCATGTAGCCAAAGGGCCAGACTGAAATGTGTCTGCTCCCCCTGCGTTCATTTGGTGGGAAGGGAAGTGGAGGCGACCCCTTAGAAAACTCTGAACCGGGGCGCCTGGGTGGCTCAGTCATTAAGCATCTGCCTTCGGCTCAGGTCACGATCCCAGGGTCCTGGGATCGAGCCCCGCATCGGGCTCCCTGCTCCGCGGGCAGCCTGCTTCTCCCTCTCCCACTCCCCCTGCTTCTGTTCCCTCTCTCGCTGTGTCTCTCCCTGTCAAATTAAAAAAAAAAAAAAAAAAATCTTTAAAAAAAAAAAAAGAAAACTCTGAACCATAGGCATTTGGCCATCAGATCAGGTGCTCGCTTTAGACTCAAGGAGAGTAGGTGGGGAGGGGTCTTCTGATTCACTCTAAAGAGCCCACCGGGTTTAGGGTTCAAAGTCATCCAGCCGCTATGCACCAGGCTGTGTGAATTCTCTCACAAGGACCTTAGGACAGGCCATGGGCCTACTACGGTTCGAAGGAAAAGTAAGAATATTCCAGAGAAATTCCTCCGAGTCCCACATGGACCCTCAGAAATTTGTTTAAATAAAAAATGTATCACTAAGTAGAATAGGTTACAAGGGAAATGGTCCAAACTCCCTAAATTTACATAACTTTAAGAGGAACTGAAAGAAAGAAATCTCAGGAAGTCATAAATAAGAGAAATTTACAACACAGAAGGCTCATGCGGCCAGATTACGGAAGCACACAGACACACACACCTCACACCCCACTCAGCATCAGGATATTTCAACATAAAGATCGCATTCTGGGGCCCGGTAGAGAAAACTGATCATGTTTGCACGTAACTCCTTCCGAAGGATTGCTGAGAGTGCCCAGCAATGATGGAAAGAAAGAGTCCAACAACGCAGACTCCACTCTTGCAGCTGGCCGGGATAGGAGGCAGGGACCAGGGACCAGGAGTCGTCCGGGTGAGGAACGATGCAGCCAGAGTGTCCCATCTGCCACACCGCACACCGTTGTTCTTCTACCATCGCCTCCAGGAAATTCTCTCCTGTCCCCTCTCCCCTCTTGTTCTTCCTGGGGATTCAAAATGGCCCGAATTGAAAACTCCACGGGGCTTTCACCAGTCACCACATAGGCCAGACGGACAAGGCATGAGACGCATCAGAAGACAGTACGATCACTTATGCACTATTGTATGCATCATAAAAATCCTTGCACACGTACTACTTTACCATATTCACTGTAATGGAGGCTGTAAAGAATTCCTAAAAGAAATCTTTCTGTCTTCAAAGAAGCCTAGTTGGAAAAGCCAACTTGTGCAAAGTTGTATACAACATTCACTTGCTTTCTTAAAAATAACTATTCAGTAAAAAGAGTTTTACATTATATAAAAGTATAAAGAAGTGTGTGTTGGGGGTGGGTGGGAGAACACTCACCCACATTCCTTAACTAAAAAACATTTAACATCTTGATATACTCAATTTTTTTCTCTGTGTTGCGTATGCAACTTTAAATTATATGCATTTGCCCTCCTATAAACTCCTTAAATAGCAGCCTGGGCGCCTGGGTAGCTCAGTTGGTTAAGCGACTGCCTCTGGCTCAGGTCATGATCCTGGAGTCCCGGGATCGAGTCCCACGTCGGGCTCCCTGCTCAGCAGGGAGTCTGCCTCTCTCTCTGACCCTCCCCCCTCTCATGCTCTCTATCTCATTCTCTCTCTCAAATAAATAAAATCTTTAAAAAAAAAAAAATAGCAGCCTGAATTGCTGTAGGATAGTCACAGTTTGAATAATTTCATAGAACTCTGAATCTGTTTTCAGTTAGCAACTGTGGAAATAGCAGCAACAGATTTTAACCCTGAGGTTAAACTTTTTCTAATCTAACCTATGCACAAGAATGTAGGATAGAAACCAACGCTACATGGGAGTTCAGTTCACAGTATTTTCTGTATAAAAGATAATACAGACTTTGTGTATAAAAGTAATATACATTCAATTTTTAAAAGACTAGCATAGCAAGGGGCCTTAGAAATGGTATGTGGAAATTAAGATGTGCAAGGCTTCATGGAGCGGAGTTCTCTTTCCAAACTGACATCACACCCCGTCATCACCTACCGCCTTCCCCTGTCCTGGTGGTGATAAAACTGGGGCCTCTAAGGACCTCAAATCTGGTAGAAAATAGGTCTTATCTCAACTGGACAAGTCAAGTCAAGGTTGAGGTTAGAGCTCTGTGTCATTTGTTGTAAATACAGGTGTCAGAAAAGGCACAAGCCTCCCTCCAGCCAACCCGCTCCCCCATCAGCCTGGAGAGGTATATTCGCAGACAAGGGAAAGGGTCTGTTCTCCTGTTGGCTCTCCTTTCAGTGATTTCCTGGAAATCAGCCTCTGACAATAAGAAAAAGAAAGAAGCCCACCAGCACCTAACACATGACTTGCCAATGCAACAGTACTCAGTGAAACAGAGGAGTGACGACTGTATTTGACAACATGGGCGAGCTGCAGAACAGTCATTCTGAGCGGGAGATGCCAGCCAGACACGCTCACCCCAACAGGGTGATCTGTTCCTAGGGGATTGCAGACCGCGCGCACAGACCCAAAGTGACAGCCTGCGGGTCGGGGCTGGGGGTGGGGGGGGCTGGAAGGAGAGATGACAGAGCAGAGGACACTTCTGGGGTGATGGCTATTGCTGGACAATGGTCACGGTGAGTTTCACAGATGAACATGTAGGTCAAAAGCTACACCGAACTGTTCAACTAAACTCTATTTCTTAAAGGCTTAAAAAAAAAAAAAAACTCCTCTCAAAGGACTGTGCAGGCCTCATGGTTGGGTTCTAATCAGTTAAGAATCGCATAAGGCGGGCGCCTGGGTGGCTCAGTTGGTTAAGCGACTGCCTTCGGCTCAGGTCATGATCCTGGAGTCCTGGTCCTGGAGTCCTGGATCGAGTCCCGCATCGGGCTCCCTGCTCAGCAGGGAGTCTGCTTCTCCCTCTGACCCTCCTCCCTCTCGTGCTCTCTGTCTCTCATTCTCTCTCTCACAAATAAAATCTTAAAAAAACCCCAAAACTATCTTATTTGAGGGGTGCCTGGGTGGCTCAGTCATTAACCGTCTGCCTTGGGCTCAGGTCATGATCCCAGGGTCCTGGGATCGAGCCCCGCATCGGGCTCCCTGCTCAGCGGGGAGTCTGCTTCTCCCTCTGACCCTCCTCCCTCTCATGCTCTCTCTCGCAAATAAATAAAATCTTAAAAAAAAAAAAAAAAAAAGAATCACATAAGCGGGGGGTGGGGGGGGCGCCTGGGTGGCGCAATCAGTTGAGCGTGCGACTGCTGGTTTCGGCTCAGGGTCATGATCTCGGGGTCCTGGGACCGAGATCCACGGGCTCCACGCTCAGCACTGAGTCTGCTTCAGATTCTCTCTCCCTCTCCCGTTCATGCTCTCTCTCAAAGAAATTAAAAAAAAAAAAAAAATCACATAAGGCTGCTAAGAAGAGTTTCAGTCGTCGTTTTCAAAAAAAACTCTCAGTCACTTGTTTTCTGGAGGGCTGGGGGTGCCACGAAGCTCTTCAACTTTAGGACCAGCCATACTAATAAAGAAAGTTTCCCTCCAGACTGGGTAAGGAAATGTGGGTGACAGGTTGCTGGGGCCCAGTATACCACTTAGGAAGTGACAGATAATATTCGACGTAACTGGATACTGCTCCATGAGGTCTATCAACAGCAAGAGCCACCTGGTGAAATTTCAGTCAAGAAAAGGATGCCACGGTTTTAACGCATCCAGTCCTGTTGTCTGGTTTCTGATTTCCTTCCGTGGAAGGCTAATCATAGCCCCTTTAGTGGAGGACCCCTCTGGTACCCACATGACAGAGCGGAGGCTGGTTCGGGATGAAGTGCTAGCCCTCTATGACCACTACATGCAAATGTTTTCCAAATTAAGTCCGGGCATGGAGGGGAAGCCATCTTAAAATTCTTTTAAGGTTTTTTGTTTCCTTCTGGCTCGTTTAACCGTGGGGGGGCTTATGGTTACACTATAAGTTTGAGAAGAAACAAAGGATCTACCATGATGCACTGTTTGCCATCCTAGATGCTTTTGTGCAAACTACTTCGACTCCTAGTGGTCAAGACTTGATCTATGTTGTGGGGTTCGTAAATCCCCAGGTTACACTGTAAGTTTGAGAAGAAACAAAGGATCTACCATGATGCACTGTTTGCCATCCTAGATGCTTTTGTGCAAACTACTTCGACTCCTAGTAGTCAAGACTTGATCTATGTTGTGGGGTTCGTAATTCCCCAGGCTCCCGCTGAGAACTGCGGACTGCAGGAAGATACACCGGTCGCGGCAAACTGCTTCGGAAGGGCCCGCCGTCCTGGGGGTCAGCGAGAAGCCCGCTCCTGTACTGAAATCCTGCCCTTACTCCATGCCCTACTCCGTACGGAGGTGCAAGGGACGGGTCAACTCTAGCTCTTCCACTGACCAACGGTGACCCCCGTCACCCAGCGGCCTGCGAGGACCAACTGCTGAGCCCTATGCAAGGCATCCGCCCCCCCCAGCGCGGGGCCGAGGAGGACTTGGGCACCCTGCCGCATCCAGGACCCCATGAGGAAGGAGCCGGAGCCCCAGGGGTACAGGGCAGCAAGCATCTGGCCACCTCATGCCAGCTGCACCCCACGAAGAAGACAGAGCTACACAGAACGCAGAGCTCGGTCTCAGGACGCGGCCTGCCATCACACAGACGCCTTAAGCTGGTCTCTACCGCAACAGGGCTTTTCTTGCTAAGTCCATCACACATTCCACGTTTCACGAGCGCAAGACGAGACATGTGCACACCACACATTTTCAGAAAAAACTACGTGGAGAATATGCCTCCTGAAGCCGCTCTCCATTTAGTTGTCAGTTTGATGAAGCTGGGGATTTTTCTCTACATTACAAGAATTTAGAGTTACTTCCTGAGGTCAGCGAGAAACGACATGAGACACATTTTTCAGATATTTGGTTTATTAGATTTTCTAACAATCCTGAAACATTACGAGAAAACCCCCCATCCCTGCTTACCAGTGATGGAATGGCTATTCCATGGACTTAAGTGACCCGTCCCCCCAGGCCACAGAGCCTGGCCACCTCTCCGGAGTGCCTGGAATAGGGGGGGACCCACCTGCACAGGGGTGCACCGGAGCGTGGGGAGGCCATGGGCGTGGCCATCAGCTGGTGAGCAGACACACAAATGCCTGTCCACACAGTGGAACAGTAAGAAACAAGAACAGCAAGAAAACGAATGCAGTATTGAGACAGGACAGGAGGGATGAACTTTCACAAGGTATTACTGAGTGAATGAAGCCAGATACAGAAGGCAGGAGGCAGGCAGGACTCCCACTGATAGAAAATGCCCAGAATAGGCAAATCTGTTCGAGACAGAAGATCTGAGGCTGCCCGAGGCTGAGGTGGGAACAGGGAGGTATACAGGGTACAGAGGATCTTTTGGGGGTGATAGAAATGGTCCAAAAAGTTGGATCGTGACGACGGAGCCCTAAGTCTGAGTTTACGAAGTCCCTGGGATGCACACTCAGAATGGGTGAATTTTATAGTAGGGAAATCGGACACCTGCCTAAACCTGTCTAAGAAAACAGGAAGGGGGGGGCGGGCGGGGAGGGAGAGAGGAACAAAGGGAGCAGACAGCACACAGAGGAGAAAAGTGAGGGGAGGCAGACACAGACGAGCATTGGACGTCCTCAGTCATTCCCAGCCCCACTCTGCTGAGCACCATCCGCCTGTCAGGCCCTCGGATCCCAGGAGCAGTGCTGCAACTTAGGGCTTCCCAGCCCCGTTTACAGATGAGGAAACACAGGCCAGCAACAGCTGGGTTTTGCCTGAACTCACCAGCCAAGAAATAGATACAGGGCACGGAAGACGTGGGACCTGAGGGGAGGAGGGAAAGGGGCAGCGGAGGAACGGGGGAGAAACCACGGGCCACACACACGCCCCCGTGTGCTTATACACAACACGCCCCTTCTTCCTACGGCCTTCAGGCCCTCTCCTCCAAGCAACTGCAAAGCACAGGTCAAGAGAAAAAAAGTGGCCCTTCAAGTCAAATTTCCCGACTCCCAGCTCTAAAACAAAAATACTAGGTCACCATGTTTACAGTATATATTGCTATTGTGTTTCTCCCCGTCAGCAAGCTGTTCCCAGGGTTAATAGGATAAAACCTACTTTCCAGAGCAGAGCCGACCTTGACTCGACGACCTTGACTGGCCAATGAGGACACAGGGGTGGCACACAGGGCCGGTTCTTCTGCTGGCGGGTGCTGCCTGAAGTCAGAACAAACCCAGCTCGGAGCTACCTGCCCGTCAGCTCCACACCGAGGAGGAGGAGGACCAGCGAGTGCCTGGCTCCCCGACCTCACCAGGCTGTGGGGCAGGAAACGCAGGGTTTGCTGCGTGTCTGCTGATGGCACGCAGCTGTTTGGGGATATCTGCTCGTCTCTAGCGGGAAAACCTCCAGCATATCTGCGCCCTGCGTCCCACAGCTCCCTTTCCTTCCTGGATGATGCCCATCTTATCCCTCCCCCCACCCCCACCCACAAAGAGGCTCAAAGGCAGTTTCAGTCAAACCAGGCACATCACCCGCCTATCTGCAGGGGCAAGGAATCCCAAGGAAAGCAAGGTGAAGTATCCCAGCAGCTCACAGGGGAGAGGTTCCTTCGGGACCCCTTCACTCACAAGGGCTAGACCACGGTCTGTCCTCCGTGTCTCGTTTCCACTCTCCTCTGGCCACTTCTCCAGTGTTCATGAGCTGTTCCTCTCCCAGCTGTTGTCTTCTTCCTTCATGACCTCCCTTCCCCGCCTCTGCCATCCCTCGGCCATCTTCGCTAATCCAGCACCATGAAGCAGCAACCTACCACCAAACTGGACCTCCAGCCCTTGCCACCCCTCCCCCAACCCTGACAGCGCCTAGGTGGGCATTTACAGCTACCCCATGAACATCTTCCAGAAAGAAAAAGAACAGATTTCATAGGCAAGGTCGTCTACCAGATGGACGAATGCAAAGCACTGAACCACAGCCAAGTCCACCCCTCCTTCCCCCCCGCCTCGTGCTACGGTGTGTGGCTAGAAAGCAACAGGAAATTACAGAATAGGTGGAGCTGAGGGGCAGGAGTGCCTGGCAGGTGTCTAGAGACCAGACAGGACTGAATGCACACAAGAGAAGGTTCCAGGGGACGAATATCAAGATAGATAAGGACCAAGATCAACCAGTACAGACAGGAGCACAAACCCAGAGAGGAGGTGGAGGATGAGGTACCACAGAACAGAGCTGACAGCTATCCTTGAAGACAAGGGGCAATTTCATTTTATTTTTTTGACAAGGGGCAATTTTAGTGAACATTCTAAACAAAGCATTGGACTGAAAGGATGGGAACAGACTTTGCATCTCAGGTAGAAACATATTTGAATAAAACCTCTAATGAATTTATAAGAGCATTTTCTGGAGTGATCCTTGTTCAATCCTGACAGCAACTCTCAAGAAGGTTTTGAAAGTGGTCTAGACCACCACATGGTATGCTCAGAGATCTTCAGCCTGTGCCCTGCTCTCTAGAATGCCAACATTACAACGTTAAAACACAGCCATGACCACAGCCGGCATGGGGTCCAAAGTGCACAGGGCCTGGAATGAGAGAGCCTCGACTTGCATCAACCATTTACGAGCTTATAGCCTGGGATTAGCTATTTACGGGCTCATCTCCAGCTTCCTTATTTATAAATAGGAATAACAGTACCTAACTAAGAGTTGCTGTGGGATTAAGTGGATAATTTAGGTCTACACTTGGCAGAGAATCTGGTACCCAACACTCACGATGTGATACTATTTAGGGGTCATTATTTTCAGAGATATTGTGCAGTACCAACTGTAGACACGAGAGAAGCCACTCAGCAATCCAGGAAGGAGGACAAAAAATTGTCACATTAAAAAAAAAAAAATCAAAATTTCATTCCATAAGTAGTAACATAAAATTTTCTGCTCCACGTGTTTTTAGCACTAAAGAGAAATGAACTCTCAAATCGTGAAAAGACATGAAGGAACCTTAATGCAGAATACTGAGAAGCCAGTCTGAAGAAGCTACATATTGTAGGATTCCAACTCCAGGACATTCTGGAAAAGTCAAAACTACGAAGACAGTAAAAAGATCAGTGGTTGCCAGGGAAGGTAGAGGGATGAAGAGACAGCACAGAGGATTTTTAGGGCACTGGAAATACTCCGTATGACACCACCAAGACGGATACAGGTCATTATATGTTGGTCCAAATGCACAGAAGGTGCAAACCAAGAGTGAATCCTGAAGTAAACTAGGGACTCTGGGTGATGATGAGGGGTGTGTGCAGGTTCATCCGCTGTAACAAGCGTCCCACTCCAGTAAGTACCTGCGATACTGGGGGGACGCTACGCATGTGTGGACACAGGAGGTGTGGGAAACCACTCAACTTTTCTCTCCGTTTTATTAGAAACCTAAAACTGCTCTTCGGAAAGTCTTAAAAAAATGTGATCCCTATAATTTCACAACGTCAGCACACAAAATTTAATTGGAAAAAGTACTATGTGATAAGGAAACAAATCTGCATTTACTTCTGTATTAATCTCTGAAAGTCTGGCTGGCATGATTGTAAAAATCAGTATCCACAGCCATTGCTTTTATGACTCCTTAGAAGTAGTAATTTTATAATCGTTCTTATTGTTTTTATTTTTATTTAATTTTTTTTAAAGATTTTTTTTTAAAGATTTTATTTATTTATTTGAGAGAGAGAATGAGAGACAGCACAAGAGGGAAGAGGGTCAGAGGGAGAAGCAGACCCCCCGCTGAGCAGGGAGCCCGAAGCGGGACTCGATCCCGGGACTCCAGGATCATGACCTGAGCCGAAGGCAGTCGCTTAACCAACTGAGCCACCCAGGCGCCCTTTTTTAAAGATTTTATTTATTTATTTGACAGAGAGAGGCACAGCGAGAGAGGGGACACAAGCAGGGGGAGTGGGAGAGGGAGAAGCAGGCTTCTCGCCGAGCAGGGAGCCTGATGTGGGGCTCGATCCCAGGACTCTAAGATCATGACCTGAGCCGAAGGCAGATGCTTAACGACTGAGCCACCCAGGCACCCCTTATTAATTGTTTTTAAAGACACAGCCCAAAACAGACTTTAAGGCACTGAGGTTCAGTTAGACATTATTGGGTCATAAAGCAACTGTGTGACCTTGGGGAGTGTGCATCGTCCCTGTGGACTTCAGCATTTTCCCCATCGCACAAGGGTGTGTAACCAGAAGTCCCTGCTTGCTGTGATGTTGTCAGGGTCTGCAGAGGACGTGAGGACATACAGGGGGTGTGAGCTAAAGAAAGGAGACCTACCAGCCAGGTAGGGAAAGAGAAGGAGGCTAAGACAGTGAGAGAGGGAGGGACAAGGTTTGCACAAGCAGAAGCAAGGCTGACAGAGGGGGCTAGAAGGAATGCCCAAGCACAGGACTTCACGAAGGGCTCAACCACCCTTGCCTGATCTCCTCTCAGATCCTGGCCAGAGCAATAAATGCTGGGTGACCCTCCCTGCTTTCAGAACCAGATGCCTCGAGGACTCACAAACACGTCAGCAAGCATGGATGGAACACCCACTATAGCTCCTCTGGAGAGCACACACGGAGTGCCTCCAGGGGCCCACACCTACTGTCTACCTCGAAAAGATGCCTTGTCTGCCAGCATTCCTTCCTCCTGAGGAAACCAGCTCTCCCCTGCAGGTTTTCCCATCACTCTCCTGCTTCTTCTGCCCCACTCCCAATAACCAGGGCACACCACTGAACCCATGCTTAGGGAACATGGTCCCTGCAAACAGGGACGGTTCCAAGGGCACCGCTGTCCACTCAGCACTACGGACATGGAACGGATCGTTTTCTGGGCTGGGGCGTCCTGTCCACTGTAGGGTGCTGAGCGGCCTCCCTGGTCTCCACCCACTAAATACCAGTAGCCACCTACCCCTCAAGCTACAGCAACCAAAATGTCTCCAGACATTGCCAGGTATCTGGGGGGCAAACTCATGCGCAGCTTCAGTCAAGAGAAGAACGTCTGTGAGGCTTGCCAGGGCCTAAGGATTCCTTTCCTTCCAGAAGGCAGGCCTGTGGAATGTAAGCCCGGGGCCACCTTTCACATCCCCTAGGGGAAACATGCTTGAGAATTAAGCCTGCAGGAAAGACACAGATCGACAGGCCTCCCGGCATCTGTATGAGCCACCCCCACCCCCCACCATCTGCAAACCCACGCAGTCCCTTTTCCACGGAGGCCGCTAGTCCACACAACCAAAATCGCCCTGGCTCTCTCCCATTCTCTGCTCCAATAACCACAGACAGACGAGCATGGGGGGGCCTCTTCATTGCAAGTAATCCAAGTAATCCTTGGTATTCAAGGTCTCAGGAAACAAGCGTTCAGTTCGGACGTTTGTAATGAGGTCCCTGGGGAGGCACGGCGGGGTGGGGTGGGGGGAAGGTGAAGGGGGAGAAGAATGAACAGAGGTTTCCAACGAAGTGAAGCAAAAATAATTTGCAGATCGTCACCCAATATTTTGAACCATGTTCTCAGTCATGACCTAGGGGAGAGAAATTTCAGAAAGGTTGGGAAAACGGGGAATGGGATTCTCAGCCTTGCAGAGGAGAGGCCAAGTCATGATCTTCGGGGGAAAGCCAGAGAGCCGCTCACAGGGCGCTGAGAAAGCGCAAGCAGCAGAACGCCTACTCCCTGATGGAGGTCCAGCTCAGCCACAGCCGGAGAACTTGCTGGCACCTGCAGACCATTAGGGGTGCTAGGTGAGGCTTTCTCTAAGGTTGCCACGTTCAGAGGCATCTTTTCTCAGCACACAGAGTCTTAAGGACTGCCCGAAGGTTTCCTCCACCAGAACGAGCACATCTGTTAGTAAGTAGAAAGAAACCAGTCCTAGGAGTCCTGACAACTCCCTCTTCTCTCCTCTGCACACGCACAGCCCCACGAAAGCCGTGGCATCTGGCCACCTGCTGGTGCAGAAACCAGGACAGTAAGTCCTCACCCTTCCTCTGACCCATTATGAGGTGGGTTTCTACTAAGAAATCAACACAAGAGACATCAAATATCAGACGTCTTGACCTTGGCCAGGGGAACGAACACCTGATAAATCAGCAAGCCAGGGTGACGCAGGCTCCTAGCAGGTTACCCGGCCCCACACCCCCCCCACACGTTAGCGTCTGACAAGCAGCGGAGCCTGGTGATTCATGGCCCCGCCGCACACTAATCCACACGGTTTATGGCCCCACATCTGCTCCGCACACGGGCTCCTGCTGGCTCTTCCAGCTTGCTAGGGTGGTCCCACTGGCTCGAGCTGTGCCCACTTCTGAATAAAGGGCTCCCTAACTACTGAGCCCGCCTCCAGCACCAGCTCTGATGGCTTGTACGTGCACTCTCGTTGGGGCGGGGGCAGCACGGTTCTAAAAGACCCCTCAGAGAGCTGTATGCAGGCACAGCATTCCTAATCCCAGGATTTGAGATTCTCTTTCCATTTTCTACCAACTCGATCATGCTCACTTGACCAAGTGCAGAAAGTGGCTCCCTTGCCTCTTGCAGGTCCGAACCCTCAGAAGCACCTGGACATGCCACTGGGAAAATATCTGATGATTTTCTGAAGCCAGTAACTAGTGACCTTCAATAGCACTGGGCTGAAATGTTCTCCCAACTGAACCTGACACCTGAATGTTACTGCACTGGGTCTGAGTCCTTGGTTTTCTCACCCTGAAAACATTCACGATAACTAACCTACCCCAACTAGAATGTTGTAATAAGCACATTCTGGTAATTATGCTGGGGCAGGTGTACACTCTTTTTCCAATCTGAATCATACTTTCTATCTCAGATGCTAACTTCAGAAAATACCTTTATGATTCATCTTCGGCCAAAGGCAATTTCTCAACCCTGAGATTCTTGGCCCCGGTTTTCACATATGAGAAAGGTTTCTTGTACTAGGACTGGCTCCCCATCTTTTAGCCCTAGAACCCTCAATGTGCTCTTGTCCCCCTAAGGACTGGGGGGGAAGCAAAGAGTGTGCAGCTACCTGCTGTCTGGACAAACGGTGGCCCTGTAACCCCATCATGGATACTGGGCATCCCCGGGATTCCACAGCCAAAGGATGCCTCTGGCCACTGCCACCATCCACCTGCAGCATCAGCCCTCTGCAAACAAACCACCAGCACCTACTGTGAGGACATCCAAGAGGTGGGGAATCCGGCTAGCATTGCTTGCAGCACCACCATTAGCAACATACGTGGATGGCTAAAACATGTATAAAACACTAGCCCATTACACAAAGCACCCTGTTAGGCTCCCAAGTTTACACATGGGAAACCGCTCGGAGTTTCAAAGACGGTCCTAGGTCAATGCACAAGGAGCTGTTAGGATCCACTTTCCTGACTCCCACATAATTCTACAGCCTTCACACCCTGCTGAGGTTTTTTGTTTACCTGTTCAGATGGAAACAAGTATTGCTTTGCCATTTGTAAAGATGTGTCTGTGTATATATAAATACACAGACATGATTTTAAGAAAAACCCAAGCACTACAGTCATGCATAAGGTAGAAAGTAACCTCTCCCCACCCCACCCCAAAGTCCAGATAAGCGCTTATTTAAAAGCTAAACATCTATTATATTAACACTAATTGCTACCCATACACTTACATACCTTACCTTCTGTTTCATCTTGTCAGTTCTGGAAGTAGATGCATAAAGGTGAACAGCTCGGATTCAGGGGCTTTTCACAGGAGCAGTCCCAAGTCCCGGAGCCTACCTCCAGAGCGGTAGGGCACCTGGCTGAGAGACCTGTTCACAGCTCTGACATCCACCAACTTTGCAACTCTGAACTTAGATTCCCAAACTTCAGTTTCCAACAGCTATAACATGTAATATGCAGGAGCAGATATAAGGAATCAATAAGATAAAGCATACAAAGCTGAGGTTCCCCAAAACCAGCCTACAATCTGGATACCATGGACAGGCTTAAAACAGCTTGCCGGACCCCAGGGCAGGGCATGATAGTCTGCATTGTGACAAGCTCCTGGAGGAGGCTGATGCTAGTGATTCAGAGACCCCACTTAGAGAATCCTTGCAACAAAGCATTTAGCCTAGCACCTGGCAGGTCCACAAACTGGTGGCCAGTACCCCATAAAACACAGTTCATCACCCCAAATCTTTTTCTGCTTTAAAATCCCTCAGCTCCAGCCTCAGCACAAAGGCTTGTATCCCCTCGTATCCTTGTAACCCCCTTGGCCACCAGAGCTCAGCCACAGCTTGACTCTGCTCCCCTATCCTGGCCCAAAGGGAACCCACGTGGTTTCCTCGGGCTCAGAAAACACACTCGTGCAGGGCACCCAGGGAGCCCTCTGGCCAGGTGGACTGAATTTTCTTGTCGAGCTCTGCAGACAACTCTTGGTCCCCGGTTGTAAACCTGCCAACGCGAGTTAAGGCAAAAAGGTAAGACTGTGATTCTCCACCTTGATTTACACATTTGAATCTCCCGGTGAGCTTTAAAAAACACTGATACCAGGACGCCTAGGTGGCTCAGCGGGTTAAGCATCAGCCTTCGGCTCAGGTCACGATCCCAGGGTCCTGGGATAGAGCCCGGCATCAGCATCGGGCTCCCTGCTCAGCGGCGAGCCTGCTTTTCTCTCTCTCTTTTGCCTCTCCCCTAGCTTGTGCTCTCTCTCTCTGGCAAATAAAATCTTTAAATAAAATCAAATCAAATCACTGATACCTGGACCCACCCTGTGACCCTGACTTAACTAGTCTGGGGTGTACCCTGGGCATCAATAGTTTTCAAAACTCCCCAGGTGATTCAAATATGCAGCCTAGGATTCAATCCATTCTCTTTGGGAAAATGTGGAGTCATCCCCCTTTGTCTATCTACCCAAAACCTGCTGTAACATTTCCAAGAGTCAGTTTTCACTGGAGTTTTAAGGCCCAATAGAGGCCCTAAGGCTCAGTATGCTTCACGACTGAACACCTTTCAAAAGCATTTGAGCCTCTAGGTAAGTTTTCCCAAATCCTGCTCATCCGTGCAAGGTGAGAATATACATACTGATTTTTCTTGTTGTTATTTGTTTTTAAGTAATCAAGAGCTGAAAACAGTTATTCTTAGAAACAGATTTTTTAAAAACCAAAACCTATCAAAGAAGTTATGTGGAATACCACTTAAATGTTACAATAAACTTGTATTATTCATAAGCCTATTTCATCTGGGTCACCCAAGTTGAGCACTGATGCACAAGGCTAGATTACTCACGAAACACGTGGCTTTGATGACCATGTTGAAAACCCAACATGCCAAAAGAAAAAGAAAGTACCCTTGAACTTGACAAAGGTTGTTGCATTACGCATTCACTGAGTGCCTATCATGCGTCAGGTGCTGGGCAGTGCAGTATGGATGCTGATTCTGGTGGAACCCGGGCCCACGTGGTCAAGCCCTGCAGCTGCTAGCCGGGGGAAGCTCGCACTAAAGGGAAAAGAGCAGCCGCAAGAGGCCAAAAGTCAAGGTAAAAATCACCTGGGGAGCTTACACTACAACCAGGGGTCCTAATGGAAATGCAGCCTGAGCACACCCCCCGCTTTCAAGGTCTGCAGGTGTGTGGCATGCACAGGGTTGTGGGGTACTGACTGAGCCAAGCAGCTCCTTACTTTTTCTGTCACATGCACACTCCCTGCTCACAGTACCTCGCACCCAGCTTGAGCACGGCGTCTGAAAGAAAATAAATGTTATAGAACGCCTGTTCCCAAGGGCTGTGCAGATTCTCCTTTCACCCAAGTTCCCCAAGAATGAGCTGGGCCAGGTAGCATTTTAGCAGTGTGGATATAAACATGGGAAGAGGACCGAAGTTAATGAGTGTCACCTTCTCTAAAATGCGAGCTCGTTCATTTTGTTATCCCCGGTCCAGTTTATGGGAACAGAACACTGAAAGATGCTCACCATTTTGTGAGAACCAAAAAGCTTTAAAAGTTAAGTTAAAATTTCATGCTGTCACGGGATTATGTGTACAAATACTGTTTTCTGGATGCAAGGATTAATTATACTATGAACATGGTCTCTACTAGGGAGAAAAAGCCACGGGGCAATTACCCCAGCGAACAAAGTGAGTTTAAGATACATTCCCCGCAATTCCTTCCCCCCCCTTTTTTTTAATACAGAGCAAAGAGAATTTTTTTAAAACTTGGGAATTTTCTAGAATCCTTTAAAACTATCCCAAGCACACATTATTCCATAACTGTTGTATTTCGATATTTAGGGCTTCTTTTTCTAAAGCTCCCTATATAAGAATAGTGAACTTTCCTCTAGGAGAACTCTTTCCTGCCATTACCCCATCACATCTGCAAAAGAGATACCTCTCTAAAAGAAGTGAAACACGCCTTTCCTGAAAGCAGTGCTGAGAATCTTTGGGAAGGCGGCGGTCCTGGTGCACGTCTGCCCATGCTGTGCCCCACAGGAGACTTTGGGGGAACGTTTGGCTTGGAACATCTCTGCCTACACTTCCCAGGGTCCGAACCGTAATGCAGGCGTCCTAATCATGGAAATCAGCCACGCTGACTGGGCCAGCTCAGTAAGACCCTGCACAGTTCAAAAGGGCAGAATTCTTGTGTGCTGGGATCACAGAAGCACAGCAGGGGTATTGATCCACTCGCTGGCATTCCAATACCCAGAATGTTCCTCCGGCTTTCCATCATTGTTCCCCTGCTGGAGCTCTGAATTCCCCGAGCTAGCTACGAAAGGGCTCATGCAATTACTTTTGTCCAAATACATTATTCCTGGGGGATGGGAGAATCAATGGAAGATTTCTGGGCTTATGTATCCCAACTGAGATGTTCCCTTCTCTTACTAGAAATCGATGATCCTTGAATATTTAATCAGTTGAACTAAAAAGATCAGAGGGAGAACTCAGAATGTAACTAGCCTCATGTAACTAGCCTCGTTTACCTGAAACCTAAATGTTGCTTCTCCATTAAAATCTGAAACATGATTTCAAAAGTATTAATCATGTAATCAATAACTTTTGGGGGGGGTGGGGAGATGTGAAACCAGGTCTTACTAGGAAATGGCGGAGTCAAGGAGCAGTGGTGATGGTCCACACCCTTCCCACCTGGCTTGTTACAAGCTTTGCTCCCTCAAATCCTCTGCCCTACAGATCCTGCCTCTGAGAAAAGTAACTATATGACCAAGTTGTTACGGCACACTATATACTCTACACTAACTGAAGTCATAACTACAGATACAAAGTCTCATTACTTACAAAGATAATTCGAATACAATCTTAGGATGATTATGAGCAACACCTTTTTTTTTTTTTTTAAGATTTTACTTATTTGAGAGAGACAGAGTGAGAGAGCACGCACAAGCAGGGGGAGCAGCAGAGGGAGAGGGAGAAGCTGACTCCCCACTGAGCAGGGAGCCCGATGCAGGACTCGATCCCAGGACCCTGGGATCATGACCTGAGCCGAAGGGAGACGCTTAACTGACTGAGCCACTGAGGCACCCCAAGAACAACCCATTTTTAAGAACAAAACATTGAGACGGTTTATTTGATCACACAACCTGTTTTTACTCTAGAGTACAATTAATTTGGCAGTAGTCCCATAACCAGAATGGTTATTAATATGTGCAAAATTAGATGATTCATTTGATGAGTTACAGTTTCGTGGTGATTAATACTATTTATGAATAGCTACAGCTTGGGGCTGAATTACAAGGGCAGGTCTGGCTTTAAATGCTACTGCTGAAATTGGGTCCCCAAAGTTCACGCAGCTCAGCCCAGAGCTCCACACTACGTGTAGAGCCGGACACGGTGGGCTCCATCTCACAACCCTGAGATCATGACCTGAGCCAAAATCATGAGTCAGATGCTTAACTGAATGAGCCACCCAGGCGCCCCCAGAGCTGTCTGATATTCACTATATCTCCCAATGAGACTTAAATTTTAAAATACCTTCTTCTCGGGCTCCTGGGTGGCTCAGCGGGTTAAGTGTCTGCCTTTGGCTCAGGTCATGATCTTGGGGTCCTGAGCTCAAGCCTTTGTCTCCTTCTCCCTCTCCCCCCACCCCTGCTCATGCGCTCTCTCTCATATAAATGAAATCTTTAATTATTTGAGAGAGAGAGAGCACAAGGGGGGGGGATGTTAGAGGGAGAAGCAGACTCCCCACTGAGCATGGAACCCAACACGGGACTTGATCCCAGGACTCTGGAATCATGACCTGAGCCGAAGGCAGACACTTAACCGACTGAGCCACCCAGGTGCTCCTCAAATAAATAAAATCTTAAAAAAACACACACACACACAAAAACCCTTCTTCTCTGTTAAACACAAAGAGCATTTCTACACACAATGTATAATCCCTTCAAACAGTAAGCATACTTCCACGTAGAGACATTCTCCATCCATACCTTGTTAGTGAGAGGGACAACTGATCCTTCAGCTATCTTGTCACTTCTTGAAGAGCTACCAAAATCATACTATGACATTCAATCCCAATAGGAATTGCTAGATGTGCATTAAAAAAAAAAAAAGAAAGAAAGAAAGAAAAAGGAGGGGTGCCCAAGTGGCTCAGTGGGTTGAGCTTCCGACTCTTGATTTCCGCTCAGGTCATGATCTCGGGGTTGTAAGATCAAGCCCCAGGTCCGGCTCAGCACTCAGCATGGAGTCTGCTTGAGATTCTTTCCTTCTCCCTCTGCCCCTCATCCTGCTCATGCTTTCCCTCTCTAAATTAAATCTTTAATAAAAAGATAAAGTAAAAAAAGAAAAAAGACTCTTATCTTGCCTCCCAGAGAAGCCAACCAACATCTTTCCCATGTTTGTGAAATCCTTATTTTGACTTATGTTTCATAAAAAGGAGAAAATTGAAGTTAAAGTAACTCAAATGATTTAGCTAGACAACTACTTCTTTAACAATTCTTATTCTTAAAAGGGAGTTTTTTTCCAGCTAGCTGCTCCTTTCCTCTAGAAGCAGTTAGGGCAGAGAAGGGAGAACGCACTTAGGAGCAAAGCAAGCTAAATGCTTGTCGGGAGGTGCTGGGAAGGGGCAGAGGCCCGTGGGGAGGGGCCCTGAGCACACCTGTTCCATGTAGCCCTGACCCAGTGTGTTGAGACAGCGCCAGCTCATGGCCCCAATCACACCTGGACAAAGAGAAGGGCCAGGTCTACCCTGGACATACCTGTTCCCTCATGGAGCTTTCTGGAGGCCCTCCACTTGTAGAAGCTGGGACTTTCATCCCTGCTCAGCCCCAGCTGCCACCAAATGGAATGGGGAGAGGGGAGGATCACCTGCACCCACACTCTTAGCTCAGGGGCTATCTCCAGCATCCTCCCTCCAAGCACCAGCACCAGGTGGGCCCTCCTGTGCCTTAGGGATACCACTCAGATCCCCAGACTTTTCCCTATTGCCACCAGGAGCCAAAAACTCCTTAATTCCTCCCCACATACCTGAACCCACTTGCCCTGCTGCTGCTCTAATACCTTCCATGGCTCCCAGTGCTCTTGGAGCAAGGCCTGGGTTCCTGCCTGCCTCGCCTCCCATACTTCCTCTACCCTGCAGGAGGAGGCTCTCCCAGCCCAGCGGCCTCCCGGCTGTCAGGAGTGATTCTCCCTGAAGAACAAACACTGACTCTCTCCCTAGGCTGTCTGCCCATGGGCCAGACCCAGTACCAACAGAAGAATCCAGTGACAAACACAATGCGGGGCCCTAAGGAACTGCCCAGAGGATGGGACTTTCCCAGTTGGCCTCCTCGCAGTAAGTCTTTGCAATTCAAGAACGAGTCTGAATGCCTCAACCCATATCCTTTTATTCAGTAACAGCTTTATTGAGCTATAACTCACATTCCATAAAATCCACCTTTCTAAAGTTTACAAATCAGTGGTTTTTAGTACACTCGGTAGACTTGTGTAAACATCACCACTCTGTAATTCCAGAACATTTCCATCACTCCCCAAAAGAAACCTCGAGCCCATTAGCAACCACCCCCATCCGCTCTCTGTCTCTATGCATTTGCTTATGCTGGATATTTCTATCAATGGAATCAGACAATACATTCTCAACCCACTTTTATTTCAAACACGAAACACCCATTTGCAAATGTGGTTGGGTATTCGGCAGTTCTGCTCAGAAGGCCTGAATCTGAATTCCAGAAATGCCTGGCTTCAGAATACACGAGGTGGTAGAAATAAATCCACTTTCTGGGACCACCTCTGTTCCCTGACGCTCCCCCATCTCCTCTACTGATCTAGAGAAGTGCTATTCTAGAAATTCGTTTTCTTTTTTAAAGATTTTATTTGAGAGAGAGAGCGCGCACAAATAGGGGGAGCGCCAGAGGCAGAAGCAGACTCCCCGCTGAGCAGAGAGCCCGACATGGGACTCAATCCCAGGATCCTGAGATCATGACCTGAGCCGAAGGCGGACGCTTAACCGACTGAGTCACCCAGGAGCCCCAAGACTCTGCATTTCTAACAGGTTTCCAGGTGATATTGATATGGCTGGTCTGAGGGCCACACTTTGAAAACCACTGCTTGCTGGGGGCGGTAATCCCTCAACCAGCATGCCAAATCCTGTGCACCACCTGCTTTTGTAAATAAATTTTACTGGCATCCAGCCCTTTCATTTATGTATCGTCTATGGCTGTTTTCATGCTCTAACTGCAGAAAGTAGCACTTTCGGCCACAAAATCAAAAATATTTACTCTGGCCCTGTGCAGAAAAAGTTTGCGAATCTCTAGTTTACGGAGGAAGATCTAAATACTAGAAATATCATGAACAGGTCTATTGCCAAGTTGAGACTTACAGTATTTTATATGGGTTTCAGAGAATGGGGGGCATGTAATTTTATAAAATCATGAGGATTCTTACACTTTAAAAATTAATCTCAGGATGCCTGGGTGGCTCAGTGGGTTATGTGCCTGGCTTTTTATCCCCCTGACTCTTTTTTAAGATTGTATTTGAGAGAGAGAGAGAGAGAGAGCAAGTGCAAGAGGGCAGAAGTGGGGTGGGCGGGGGAGACACACATCAGACTCTCCATTTGGGCTCAGGTCATGATCTCAGGGTCAGGTTCAGCGGGGAGTCTGCTTGAGATTCTCTCTCTCTCCTTTTCCCTCTGCTCCACACCCCCGCACCCCCGCCCTGCACTTGTACGCACATGCACTCTCTCTCTCAAATAAATAAGTCTTTTTAAAAAAAATCTCAAAAAAGTCGTTTGTTTTTTTTTTAAAGTCACACAGAGAGGGACACCTGGCTGGCTCAGTTGGTTAAGGGTCTGACTCTTCGTTTTGGCTCAGGTCATGAGTCTGCTTGGGATTCTCTCTCCAGCTCCCTCTGCCCCCTTTCATGTGTGCTCACTCTCACTCTCTCAAATAAATAAATCTAAAAGAAAAAGAAAAAGTCACACAGAAAAGAGCTATTCAGTTTTGTGGTCAAAGGCCCAGCCAGGCTGGAGCCGTGGTTCTCCTGACCAGCTAACGTGTGGGCAGCAGGATGCTTTGGGCCTTGCTCTCTCACCTGTGAGCACACACAGCCCTGCCCAAACCTTCAGGGAGGCTCGTGACAAAACAAGGGTAAAAAGTGAAATAAAATATTTAAGAGAAAACTTTCTAAACCCTACAATGCTATAGGAAGATAGTATCGATGCCCCAACCCTGGAGGTTAAGTTTATTGAGGGATTCCCCTACAGTCTGGGTTCAAGAATGGAGGTTTTCATTTTTGTTAACTGATCTGTTACTGCCCTTGGCCATGGAGTGACCCTGCTGGGTGTCTACACACCAGAATCACCCCAGCAGTAACGCAAAGGGCATCCTCTCCTGATGCCACAGAAGAATGGAGCTGGGCATGGCGCCATGAAGGAGGGACGATGTTCTCCTTCCAAGAAGGTCTGTGTGCACCTGCCGAGCACTTGGCACTCGGGCTACAGCTTCCCTCTCCCTTGAGGATGGCCCTGCCGCGTGCGGCACGCCCAGGTAGGGGCTACCCACACAGCTGCGGGCGCTGTGGGTGCAGTCCTCCCTTTAGGCACGTCTCCACCCTCAGCTGTCTACTTCACAGGGTTGTTAGAGATTCTCCATGCTCACGCTCACACAGCGAACAGTGAGAGCCCACAGAAAGGCTTTAGAAGTGTTAGCTGCAATCCTCAGGACAGAGAGGACGCCGGGAACCTGTGCACATTGTGTCTGGGGTGTCCTAAGGGCCCAGGTAAGACCGTGTTTGTCACAGCAGGGTTCACATCCCATCTCGTGTCATCAAGACAAAAGCCTGTCATGAGTTTCCAAAACTATTCATCTGAAGCTTTTTTAAAAATTGTAACATCTAGGGGTGCCTGGGTGGCTCAGTCAGTTAAGTGTCCATCCAACTCTTGATTTCAGCTCAAGTCAGTCTGTGGCCACTACGTGAGTCCATGGGACAACCCTTCCCGAGACGTAAGGCCTGGGCTCATTCAGGTCAGCCGGGAGGGGTTACAAGTGCTCAGGTACTCCTGTCACCCACACTGGTCTCCTGCCTCGTCTGCACTTGCTGGGCCACCCCCTCCCTGACCTCCTGGTGACAGTGAGGTCTGCTTGCAAAGGGACTCAGCAGCAGTTAAGATAGGGAAATGCAGCCCAGGAGGGCAGGGGAAGGAAACTCAGGGCAGGGCTTCCTTTAAACGTGTGGGCATGCCCTTCAGGACAAAGCAGCACCCACCATGTCATAAGCAATCTGGAAGAGAGGAGAGAACAGGTCACCGTCAGCTCAGGATTCTAACGTAACCCTTGTGATTCACCTGCTTTTACCTCCTGGTGGGGTCGGGGCATGTCCTTTATGCTTGAGGCCAGTACCCACCCAGTTCTGTATTCCGGCTCTGTCCTCTGCAGAGGCCTCGATCCGAGTTACACCACGCTGTGAGGAGGCCAAGGCGGCATCATTCTCTAGCGCCTTTACGACATGCCTGGTCCTGTTCTTTAGAAACACTGACGGTCCCCTCCTTATCATCTCCCCAGACCTGCAGCCTCCCCACAGGCCCCGTGGCTCTGGCTCATGGAAACGGTGCCCTGCGTGACCTGTTTGGTCCTGGGTGTACTCTGACCTTCACCCCTAAGGCCCACACCAGGAGCAAAGCAGCAGCATGATGCTGGCCCTGTTACAGGCACCAATTCTTAACTGGTGCCTTTTTAGAACGTGTGAGCCAATGGACTGGGGTACTCGGAACGAGGGGCAGCCAGTCTCCAATCTCAGGGAGGTCCCAGCCGACTGGGCTCAAGAATGCTGCAAGGTCCTTGATTACCCAGGGCCACGAAGGGTCCCGTGGACATACTGTGCCTGGTGTGGAGGATTACACAGGGGTCGCTTTGCCTGGGAGGGGCCATATGAGCAAAGCCTTCCGTGCAACCACAATTACCTCAGGGAAAGCAAGGGAAAACCCTGGCAAAGCCTCAAACAACACAGGACGTTGGGGACCAGCTAACAGCTCTCCAAAGCACTCTATGGCAATCTGGACCATGGCTCTGAATCATCTGCAGACCGTGTTAAAATGCAGACTCTAATTCCGCAGGTCTGGGGTAGGGCTTGAGAGTCTGCAGTTCTCACAAGCTCCCCGGGGATGCTGCTATGGCCACTCCAAGGACCATGCTTTGCCTAACAAGAGTCCAAAGCAGAGCTGTCCAAGAGAAACATGAGAGCCACAGATATAACTTCTACTTTTGAAGGAGCTGCATTTTAGAAAGCAAAGAAATACGTAAAGTTTATTTTAATAATATATTTAACTTGGGGCGCCTGGGTGGCTCAGTCGGTGAAGCGTCTGCCTTCGGTTTAGGTCATGATCTCGGCGTCCTGGGATGGAGCCCCACGTCAGGCTCCCCGCTCAGTGGCGAGTCTGCTTCTCCCTCTCCCTCTGCCTCCTCATGCTCTCTCTCTTTCTCTCAATTATATAAATTTAAGAAAATAATAATACATTTAACTTATTTAACCAAGTGGAGCTAAACTATGATCATTTCAACAGGTATACAATATAAAGGAATTATTAATGAGCTATTTTATGTTTTGTTTTGTTTTTTTCTGACCAGACTAAATCTAAAATCCAGTGTGTATTTTAACTCACAGTCCGTGTCAGTTTGGCCTAGCCACATTTCAAGTGCTCAAGAGCTACATATGACAAGTGGCTAGCACCTGGGGCAGTGCAGGCTAAAGGTGAAGGCAGGACGGAGGCCAGCAGAAGATGAGGCTGGGGAACAGGCAGGTGCCAAGAGGTAAAGAACCTTGTACACCTAGCTAAGGTGTAATACGAGGAGCTACCGGGGCCCTTCCAGCAAGAACCTGAGACACGACTTAGCATGTTGGCACATCCACTGCTGGAGTTCCAGAAGAGTCTGATGCATGCAAGATCCAGAATCTGACCCAATATCGGAAGCAGTGACACCGGGGATGAAAAGGGAGCAACAAATACAAGGCATTCAGGCTCCAAAGGACATGGTGATCAGCTGGCCGTGGAGGGAGGGCAAGCATGAAGGGCGACTGCACTGCACCTGGGAGAGGCATCTGCACGCACCGGCTGTCAGGGAAGCACTTGCCAGCACCCAGACGAGAGAGGAGACAGAGGGAAGGACCTTCCAGAGAAACCACACTGCGGCAGACGGCAAGGGGTAAGAGCTAGTCAAGGCTGTTTGCACAGGGGTCAGAAAGAAAGGCAGACAAAGCGCTTTCTCGTGAATAAGACACCTTAGGCAGACGGCACCTGCAGCCATGGCAATGCTCAGGACTGAACTCTGGAAAAGCTGACCAAGTTCCCCGGGCACAAGACGGAGCATCCTCAGACACGAGCAGAGAATGGAGCATGTATCCGTGTGGTATCAGGCTGTGACTCCTTTCTCCTAAACACCATCGCTGAAGATGGGGAAGGAGGATGGAAATAGCACCCCTCCCCCAACAACCTCATAAGCCCTAGAGGGCATCAGCTGTGACATCTTGTGGTTATACTGACACAAAGTAAATATGACTGGAGCAGCAGCCTATCTTTCCAAGTCCAGATGTTTCCTTCCCAAACTTTCATTCAAGGTTCAGGACATCTAGGGGCGCCTGGGTGGCTCAGTCGGTTAAGCGTCTGACTCTTGATCTCAGCTCAGGTCACGATCTCAGGGTCGTGAGTTCAAGCCCCGCTTTGGGCTCTATGCTGAGCCAGCGTGGAGCCTACTTTAAAAAAAAAAAAAGGTTCAGGACATCTAAACATGAAGGAAAATTAAAAGAAAAGCTTACACGTACCAAAAAAACACACAGTTGTTTTAAAGAGTGACATATTTGACCAATACAGTCAGTTTCCCAGAAGTTGGGGCTTTTGAAAAAATATGCCTGTCTACAAAAAACTAATAAAACTCAGCATATTCCACAATAACAAAACATATGTCATTTTAAACATCCCAAGTGGCATACACAAAACTAAGCTTCCTTTAAGCTTCATCTGATTCCTAAAATTGACAGCAATGTAATTCTTAGGAGAATTACCTTCAAGCAAGGAATAATTAGACCTATATGGTTTAAAGCAAAGAATTCCAGAGACAGGGAAAATGAATCAATATAGCCGTACCACCAGAAATAAGATTACTATATGTTTTGGGCTACTGATCAATCATTTCCTTTATTTTCAATTTTTTCAAGATGGTTTTAATGTTTCTGCAGATTTTCAAAATGTTTTTAATGTTTTTCTGAAGAAAAACCATCACTATGCTTAAAAACGTATAAGCATATGTACAATGAGCACAGGTAAGTATCTCTGTGCTTACACATTTACGAACATACAGCACAATTACCCTAAACAGATGCAGCTTCAGCATCTGCAAGCCACAGGCAGGGAAGCACCTTCACCTCCCCAGAAAGTCAGGGAGGGCTACTTCCCGAGGCTCCGGTCCCCGTCCCACCTTGCTCACCATGCTCCCAGGCTTTCCTGCCCCCCAAGCAGAAGAGACCCTTTTGTGCCTCAGACCCCCACAGCAACGCCACTTTCCTCCTGAGACCACCATGAGTCTGAACTCATCTTCACCTTCCTTTCTTCCTTGCTCTAACCCATGAGTCTACGTCCTGTTCCCCAGAGGGGAAAGACAGTCTGCCCTACAAGATAATTAATTAATCTGATAAAGGCTCTGCTAATGAAGATTTAATGTGTAACCCTCCCAGGCAACATCTTCTGCACTTGAAGCATGGCGGGTAAGGAAAGGACAATTCAACTAGGAGGAAGGTCCGAGCCGTGACATCATCCCAGCAGGCGGGCCACCCATCCTGTCCTCTGGCCAGCCCTACCTGAGTGCTAATTACCTAGACTGGCGATCCTCCCTGCCTCTGCCCTACCTCTCCGTAGCTTCCAGGTAATCATCTGCAGGGAGGAGAAGGCAAACCAAGGCAGGATGAAAATTAAATTATCGTCTGAGAGGAAAGCTAAGGTGGAAGGAAGCCAAAACGATGGCGCACGGGTCTCATTTTATATAATAAGAGTGTGGGGAATAAGCTACGTACTAATTGGACACCCACAGTGATTCCTTCTGCAAGGTAAATAATCATTCCCTCCTGTATGCATGTAAATTAAGTGTTATATATTCGATCTCTTAACACCAGATATATTTGTTAAAAGGAAAACTTGGATTTCTCTCTGGATTTCATTTGTTAGAATGGTCTCTTATAGCAAGTAATCCAAGAAATGTGTCATGGCTCAGACACAGCAGAGGTTTGTTTCTCACTCGTGTCATGATATTACTGGAGGGTAATCCCGTTGCGGGCAGCTACCTCCTCCGGTATTCGGGGACCTATGCTGATGGGGTTCTGCCCTAGGCCCATCTTCATTCCAGACAACCAGAAGAGGGGGAAGCAGGACAGGCTGAAATGGCAGACTTCACCTCCCTTGTATCGGACTTCATAGAACTGTCACAAGGTCGCATCTAGCTGTGCGAAGCTGGGAAATGCAGTCCAGCGGTGTGTCCAGAAGGAAGAGACCCGGACTGCTCCAGTGAGCAGACGGCGCCTCGGCCAAGCCTGTGGGTGCAGCTCCATGCCCTGAAAGACTTTCTACTGCCACAGAGAGAGGCAGTCACACAACAGAGCCTCTTGCCATAGGGAGATTTAGCCTTTATCTTTCCTACTACTTTCACTTCCCAAGGTCACCTTTTTGTTTTTATAATTTTTTTAAAAAGATTTTATTTATTTATTTGACAGACACACAGCGAGAGAGGGAACACAAGCAGGGGGAGTAGGAGAGGGGGAAGCAGGCTTCCCGCAGAGCAGGGAGCCTGATGTGGGGCTCGATCCCAGGACCCTGGGATCATGACCTGAGCTGAAGGCAGATGCTTAAAGACTGAGCCACCCAGGTGCCCCCCAGGTCACCTTTCTAAAATCCTATTCTTCTGAATATCACATTGATCTGAAAGAGCTACCCTTCATTAGTATTATAAAAATGAGAAACACTATTTGAAAAAAACTATTTAAAAAAAACTGATAGATGGGGTGCCTGGCTGGCTCAGTCGGTGGAGTGTGAGACTCTTGATCTCAGGGTCATGAGTTTGAGCCCCACACTAGGTACAGAGATTACTCAAAAATTAAATCTTAAAAAAAATTATGGAAAAGAAGAAATAATTGCTTCCAGTGGGGGGTAAACAGCACAACCAATGTTTTGTTGCTGGGCAACAGACATGTATTTTAATTAAATGCTTTCCTTCAAATACCATACTAAACTATCAAAATCAGTAACAAAATCTGTAGGTGACAATTAAAATGCTGCCACACAAAATCTAGCTTAAAGTCTTTCCATAGTGAATTGGTGGTTCAATGCATTAACATTATTTTTTATAGTTTTCCAAATTTTTTTTTTTTAAGATTTTACTTTCAAGTAATTTCTACACCCAACATGGGGCTTGAACTCACAACCCTGAAATCAGGAGTTGCATGCTCTACTGACTGAGCAAGCCAGGCACCCCAGTTTTTCAATTATTTCTTTCCTTTTTTTTTTTTTTAAGATTTTATTCATTTGTCAGAGATTGAGAGAGAGGGAGAGAGAAAGCACAAGCACGAGGAGCGGTAAGCAGAGGGAGAGGGAGAAGCAGGCTTCCCGCTGAGCAAGGAGCCTGATGCGGGGCTCCATCCCAGGACCCCGGGATCACGACCTGAGCCGAAGGCAGATGCTTAACTGACTGAGCCACCCAGGTGCCCCAGTTTTCCAATTCTTTTTTTTTTTTCTTTAAAGATTTTATTTATTTATTTGAGAGAGAGAGAGAATGAGAGACAGAGAGCATGAGAGGGAGGACGGTCAGAGGGAGCAGCAGACTCCCTACCGAGCAGGGAGCCCGATGCGGGACTCGATCCCGGGACTCCAGGATCATGACCTGAGCCGAAGGCAGTCGCTTAACCAACTGAGCCACCCAGGCGCCCCCCAGTTTTCCAATTCTTAATGAAACAGAATTGAATAGTGCAAAGGGAGGAAGGGGAGGAGATAAGGAATTTCAATTTCCTACAGTTAATTTTATATTTCACCTCACTGAATTCCCAGGATACTATAATAGAATGGGAATGACTCTAGTTTGACAGTCTGAGGATTGGAGATTGAAAGGGTTAAGGACAGAGTCAAGATCCAGCCTGAAATGCAAGCATTGCCACTTAACACTAGCAAACCTTCCCAACAAACTGGAATCACTGTGGCCACACAGGGGGCAGAGGTGACCACACTCACCTTGCTGATCAAAGCAGGGATCCCCTAAACTGGTACACCTCACATCAGCTTTCAAATCTGCTCTATACTGGAAACTTATTTTCAGTAGAGCTAAGAGCTACTGTTTGACAAGGACAGGATCGGCCCAGAAAGAACCAACAAAGCTATGGCCTTCAAGGACTCCCTAGGGAAGCAACCTCACCAGATCACTCAGCCACATGCACACAGCTTCCAGAGAACACTTTGGTCACCTACTCTTAAATACCTGCAGACGACAAGGATCACTGGACATTCAAAGAGAGCCTTTAACAGGGAAGAGAGAAGCCAAAATAAAAAAGCAGCTGAGCTGGGAAACTCAATCTATGCAAAAAGAAGACTTAAAAAAACAAAAAACAAAAACAGCTTAATTATCCTCAAAAATATGAAAGAAGAACCATGAAACAAGATCAGTAGGAGATAAAAAAGGAACAACAAAAAGTTTGGCATAAAAAAACAGCATAAATTTAAAACTCAATGTAAGGACTGAAAGATAAGGTTGTAGAAATCTCCTCAAAAGAACAAAAATATGGGGTGGGCTCAGCCAGTTAAGCATCTGACTTCAGTTCCGATCACGATCTCGGGGTCCTGGGATTGAGCCCCACATCCAGCCCTGTGTCCAGCCCCTGAAGAACCCAAGGTCGAGCCCCACGTGCTCAGCGTGGAGTCTGCTTCTCCCTTTCCCCTCTGCCCTTCCCCCTGCTCGTGCTCTAATAAAATCTTTTAAAAAAGAACAAAAATACAAAGAAATGAAAAATAAGTCAGAAAAAATTAGCACCAGTCCAAAGAGCAAGAAACACAAAGGTGTGCTTTCCTGCAGCAATCCTGAGCACCAATGGAGAATGAACACCATCTGCAAAGTGCTGAGGGAGAACGATCTCCACCGGAGACCTCTATACCAAACAATCCACTCACTGTCAAGATAAAATGACATTTTCAGATACAGAAGGTCCTTAAGGACTATTCCCTGTGTGTTGGAATATATTAAAAGATTTTTCACAATTGGGGAAGATTTGGAAGCCGAATCAACGAGAAGTGTGTAAGAAATCAAGCAAAGAAACAAAAACTACCATTAACCTTAGTGATTATGAAAACTTGCACCGGAGAAATAACTCATAGTTTGTACCACCAGGCTCAGCATCGATAGCACTGGCCATCAAAATAACGCAAACAGCAAATACTGTTAACTCCGTGCTTCTCAAAGGGGGTGATTTTGCCTCCCCACAAGAGACATTTGGCAATGTCCGGAGACAGGCTTGGTTGTCACAACTGGGGTGAAGGGAGCTACTGGCCTCTAGCGGGTAGAGACCAGGGAAGCTGCTCATCTTACAATGCACAGGGCAGCCCCCCCAAAACAAAGAGTTGCACTTGACCCTTAAACACAGGGGTTAGGGGCACTGATGCCCCACGCAGTCAAAAAATAAGTGTACAACTTTTGACTCCCCCGAAACTTAGCTACTAATAGCTTACTGTTGGCCGAAGGCCTGAGTATTAACGTAATCTTAGTTTCACATATTTTCTATGTTGTATGTATTATGTACTATATTCTTACAATGAACAAAGCTAGAAAAAAGAAAATGTGATTAAGAAAATCATAAAGAGGGGCGCCTGGGTGGCTCAGTCGGCTAAGCGTCTGCCTTCGACTCACATCATGATCTCGGGGTCCCGGGATTGAGCCCCGCATTGGGCTCCCTGCTCCGCGGGAAGCCTGCTTCTCCCTCTCCCACTCCCCCTACCTGTGTTCCCTCTCTCGCTGTGTCTCCGTCAGATAAATAAATAAAATCTTTGAAAAAAAAAAAAATCCTAAAAGAGGGGAGCCTGGCTGGCTCAGTCAGTAGAGTATGCGACTTAATCTCGTGCTGGGGGTAGAAAAATTAAATTAAAATTAGAAAAAATAAAGAAACTCATAAGGAAAATATATTTACAGTACTGTATTTATCGAAAAAACAAATACATGTATAAGTGGACCCGCATAGTTCAAACCCATGTTGTTCAAGGCTAAACTGTATTTGACCCAAAATGTCAACAGTGCTGAAGCTGAAAAACCCTTTTCTAACCAAAATGGTGATGTAATCAGATTTGAAGTGTGGGGTGGATGGTGGGAAGAAATGTGCCAGGGTAGACGGTGGGAAGGAGGTGTGCAGAAAAAGACTAAATCCCAGTTTTCTACATAGTGGGAAGTCAACAGTTAGGAACAAGCAGAAGTAGCAGCAATAGAGAATGTAAGCAAATGCCGAAAGCCAGCAGCTAAGAAGTTTCACTCATTGTCCCCAGGGAAGGGGAAACGGCAGTGGGGAGCTGTTGGTATGATAACAGCGTCCGAAGAACTATCTGATTATTTAAACTGTGCCAGAACCACTTTGATATAAATGAAAACAAAACTCAAAAAGATACACTAATATTTTGTCCCCTTCCTCCCACGAATAAGTAAAAATGTTGCCTTTACAGCACACAGAATCTACCAGGCCTGGAATATTATTTGCCTTTGATCTGAACATCTTAGTCGCCTCTGGCCAAAAGAAAGATAATCCCAACCCTGCCCAGCCGATCCCGAGCACAGTTCTTCCTTCCCCATCGCAGAGATGGATCATGGTCCCTAACAACACCCTAGAGATTAAAAAAAAAAAACAGCCCAGGTTAAAAAAATGTTACTTTTCCGTTACAGTTCAGAAAAGCCTGCCCAGAACCACCAACATTCACACCAGTAAACAGAATAGGCTCCCTCTACCAGAAGACAACGTAAATATTAGATCCAACAAGGTAACAGAACAATTCTCCCAGAATATACCAGTGTTAGACGCTGCCCATGTTTTAAAAAGACCAAAGAGAGTAACATGGAACCCTCTAGTTCTTTTAAAATCCTTCACGTGAGAGGAAGTTTTCAGCTTGGAAGAGCTGCGGCTAGCAGAATTTCTCCCCCAAGTGTTGCCCCACTCCTGACCACCGTGTTTCCAAGTAAAAGAAGTAAGACCTGAATAAAAAGTCTATTCAGCCTTTCAATCCTTAAATTATCTTGTCGAATGTTTACAGTGCTCCCAGTGTACAAGAAGAAAAGCTCCTCAGAGGCCCTAAGGAATCCACAAATCCAGGTTTACTGGCATGCTGACACAAAATAGCTTTGGCAAGAGGGCAACTCCAAGCTGCTTTCCAAGTAGACAAACCAGCCCTTTCCAAACAGGGAGCCCAGCTTCTGTGCCCGTGAAATAGAAAGGTAAGAAATCCCAGCTCATTGGGACAAGGTGAAAATGACTATTTTTAAGAGCGTTTCATTATCATGCTATTCTACATTTAGCTCTCGGGCAAACTAGCTTTCTTTTTTCAAAAGACGAACGTCAGGACATGTTAAGAAATACTTAGAACTGCATCAGGAAGTCCAAGTCCAACATGGTGTAGAAGTGTGATGCACAGCTTACGTTTACAGCTTTCTACCCCACAGAAGCCTGTGGGTTTATAGATGGGAGACAAGCTCAGCTCACTTAATGTCTAGGGAAGAATCCTCCACCCATTGAACCTCGCAGCCACCAGACTCTGGGATATGATGTTACACCCCCTGACCTCCCACTCCTGCACCCGACGCACCTGTGGAGGACCAAGGACGAGAGGAGAAGTGGGCCGAGTGCGGGAGGCAGAGACTGCGGCAGGCTAACAAAGACACGCGGGACAGCAGGTAAGCAGCTCTACCAACGGAAAGGGGCTTTCAGCACACGAAACAACCGCTCACCTCTTTTTGTTTGTTTGTTTAACCATACTAATGACTCTTAATATACAAACGAGTCTTCGGAATTAGCCTCATCGGGACAACTCAGGGGTCGGCAGCTGGCCTCAGAAAGTGCCTGGGCTCTCCCAGCCCAGGGGCTGCAGCAGGAGAGCACCCACGGCCCGGCGTGGGTGGCCCCAGCCTCCGGCCGCTGACTCCTGTCAGATGCCAGGATCTGGGAGCGCACGCACTGACGTGCTTTCACAGAGATCGAGCAAGATCCACAGAGAAGCTTACATCTGTCAGCTCCTAATCCCCTGCTGAGTTCATCACATCCCTCTTTTTTTTAAAAACTTTTACTGATACCTGACAAAGAACTTGGTCTGTTGGGGACAAATACAAAGACATGAGGACAACAATGTGTCCTGACCAAGGCTGCCACTAGGTCCAACCTCCCTGGTCCCCAATGAGCGCCTCAGCCAGGTTCCGTAAAATGGAGCCCCCTTTCAAGCCACTAAGGCAGGCGCCTCAGGTGCTCAGTGCCCCCCAGCCCCACCCACCACCAACGGCTAGTCTTTGCCCTGAGCCTTGTGCTGTCAGGAGCTCTGGCTAATGGCTTACTTAGGACATTTGCCACCTGGCTGTGTGACCTCCATTCAAAATACGTGCCCTGATTCCCGTCCACCCCACCTTCAGTATCCAAACTAGAAAGGACATTTAAGGACTTTGACTCATATCCAGAGAAATGTTTTAAGGGTATGAAGGCCCCTGAGAGGGTGAGTCAGCCTGGGGGCATCCCAAGGCGCAGCTCTCCTGCCCTGCTCTAGGATGTCAGTGTTCCTCAAAGGCAACCCAAAAGTCGGTGGCTTCCCAAAGGAGCCACCCTTGGGACCACACCAGGCCCAAAGCAACGTCTTGCTTGGTGCTTCTGGCTAGGGCTCTGGCATTCTTCAGGGAGGGACTCTAAGAAAGGGCAAAAAGGAGGGGCTGGAGCTTCATTCCTTCCCCCCTTAAGAAACATTCCTGAGACTGCAGGGGGCCTACTGACACCCAGCTGGTGCACAGAATGCTCCCTAACGAATCCCCAACCGCCCATTTGAAATTCTAGGCCCTCCAGTAACGTTTTAGAGATCAGGCCCCTCCCCTAACCCCCACTGATGTTTTACGTTTGCTGAATCGATGGAGAAAGGAACATGCAAAAACAGGGGACCGCATACATCCATTGTATCTGTTTACACGGGGCCCCGGATAACCCACATCGAAATGTGGCCTTGGAAATCCCAACAAGTCAAAATCTTTGTGGTTTCTTAGGACACAGACATCACTTCTACTCCCTGTCGGACAGGAGCATGGAAAAACAGCCGCACTGTGTGTTTTGCAGACCTAGTAAAAGGTCAAGCTAGAAGCCAATGTAAAGGTGCTGAGCGGATACAAATCTGGGTGCCACCTTTCAGCAGAGGTCTGCTGGGACTTCACACATGCACTTCAAATTCCAAGAATGCCACTCCTAGGAAGTTAAGTATCCCTTTTGACTTCAAAACTAGACCCAAAGAAAAGACTGTCCTTACCCAGCAGCCCCACTGAAGGCTCATAAAACAGCACTCAGGAGTTCCAGCTTCATTTCCTTTCTCGGGCTACAAAAATGCAGATGAAGCAAGTATTTGTTTGAGTTTTACTATGTAAATAAAGCCTATTATCAGGGTCAGCACTTGGGAAGAAAACAGCCCTTCAGGAAAAGCCTTCCAAAAGGCCAGTGTCCTCACAAAGAAAAATTAACTTGAGCTTTAAAAGCCAAAATCCTTTTAAAAACTAAGGTGCTGACACTGTTCATCAAACAAGGGCAATCTGGCCCACAGGTAACATCTGACAGTCTGGAGACTTTTGTTGGCTGTCACAGCTGGAGTGGGGGTACCCCTGGCATCAAGTGAGTGAGGGGGGCCCAGGAATGCTTCTGAACATCCTACATAGCCCACGACAGCCCCCACCAGAGAGTGATGCGGACCAGCATATCAGTAGTGCCGAAGTTGAAAAATCCTCATCTGATGGATGTGACAAAGTTATTTCATAGAACACTGCACGTGTTTCCAGGCGAACTGAGTAGAGGGGTTAGTGGGGACATTTGGGATCAAGAGCTGGTCCTTGGGGGCCTTCTCATGACCTGCCAGCTTTGTGACCCCAGGGCACGCCATTTAACTTCCCTTTGCCTTAGCTGTTGCATTTATAAAACGGGCTGATAAAATTTCCTGATCTGAAGATCACAGATTCAACCAGCCTTGTTCTTTGCATTCCTTACAGTTCTAAAATGTGCACTCCTATGAGGCTTCCAAATCAGACCCCTATTATCATAAAAAGAGTGTGTCACCTTACACTTGTCCAAGCTACCCCCACATCAAATTCTGTTAAATAGAAAATGAATTGTATAATACCCCAGGAGTCTTATATGTAAAATATTTAATTACAAGTTTTTTTAAAAGAAAAAAAAAAGCCCTATTAGAACAATTATAATTTGGGCCCCAAATAACAACAGTTGTTACAATGAGCCCCAAATATTTTTCAGTAGCTACTGAGGCAGAGTCAAAACTTGGATTAATCCAAATTCTGCAGGTGCAACAATTTTTCCCAGCTCCACCACAACAGTGTATTGCCACTCTTTAAGTGGTTCTAAATGGACACACTTTCCTTCATCCTTTTCTAATAATGTGACAGTTAATTACCAGCTGTTGGAGTGTAAGCAAGCATAATTGATGACTTAATCCAAGAGAAAAGACAGGCATGTGAAATAGTGCCAGTACCATGCAGCACGTAGTTAAAAATACACAATACGTGCGCAAGCGTGCACCTCTGTGTGTGTTTACAAGTGTACCTGGAAACTCAGTACGGAAGTCCCAAACTCTCCTGAATCCTTTCTTTTCTTAAAGATTTTATTTATTTATTTGAGAGAGAGAGAGAGAAAGAGCATGAGTGGGGGTGGGGAGAAGGAGAGGGAGAGGGAGAGGCAGGTTCCCCGCGGAGCACGGAGCCCGATGCCAGGACCCTGGGATCATGACCTGAGCAGAAGGCAGACGCTTAACAGACTGAGCCACCCAGGCGCCCCTCTCCTGAATTCTTTCTATCCTAAGTAAAGAAACCACCAATTTCCAGTCACACTGCAGTATCTATAAAAACTAAGCAGCAGTTTGGGGCGCCTGGGTGGCTCAGTTGGTTGGGCGGCTGCCTTCGGCTCAGGTCATGATCCTGGAGTCCCAGGATCGAGTCCCGCATCGGGCTCCCTGCTCGGCGGGGAGTCTGCTTCTCCCTCTGACCCTCCTCCCTCTCGGCTCTCTGTCTCTCATTCTCTCTCTCTCAAATAAATAAATAAAATCTTAGGAAAAAAAAAAAAAAAACTAAGCAGCAGCTTAAGGGAGGGATGTATGGGCCTCTCAGAGAAGAACCCCAAACATTTTTATTCCTGCAAAATCCTGAAACAGCATCTGGAAAGGCGGAGTACGTACACTGGTACTTACCTACCCACAAAAACTTTCAAAAGAAAAACAAAACAAAACAGACCAAAAACACCTTAGCAAGTACTGTGCAAGCTAACCAGCAGGCCAAATCAGGAGCAAAGGGCCTCACATGCCCCAAAAAGGCCCTGGTGTGTATTTCCTGGGTTTTACTGCCCACCTCCCACAGTCTAGACCGGGGCCTCTTGGACAGAGAGAACAGAAGGCCACTAAGAATACACCAGGATTTTTAGAACCTGGAGTACCCACAGAAAGGAGGAGGTGCTCGGGGATCCCCTTCTCCAGCTTCTGGTTAAACACCTGAATTTGAGTTTAAAATGACCTCCAACTCTCTTACACTGTGTAAAGCCAAAAGGCAACATTTCACCTTAACCAATGTTTTGCAACTTACTCCTTCAATTATAATAACAAGTCTGAGGAAGATGCGTTGACTTGTGTGTACACCTCTTTTTTAAAAAAATACATGAAATGCTAAGGGTGTTAGTAATTTACCTGCTATCTTTTAAACTTTTACCATCAGAAATGCCCTGTAAAACCTTTATTAAAAAGGCATAGGGTTAACACGCTTTTGTACGCATATATGCAGGAAAATACCCTTGCTGGGCAAGCTGCATACACTTTGCTCACCATCTTTTCAAAGAACCCAGTTCGTTAATGGGTTACACATTAAATTTATAACAACAACAGCCTCCTTCCCCAGTTGAACATAAATTCAGTGCCTATCTAAACAAGCCTCCCCTCAGAGTTTCTGGTTTTGTGAATACAAAAATGAGAGAAAATACAGAACAGAGAAGTTTGGTGCCTCATTTGCTATCTTGGACAACAAAGCCACACCACTTCCCATATTCATCACGGGTGGGTTGGCTTAGGAGTGACCTTATACCTTCCTGCTGTGGTGAGGCAGGAAAGTAGGAAAAAACCCAGCAAGTCACCTTCAAACTCTTGTAGTCGCCAAGAATTTTTACATTTTAAAGGGAACTTTGTCCCCTGGAAAAGCCTAACCCAACCCTCCCCACAGAAACGGCCACTTTTAACCAGAAGAAAACAGGGTGATAGATTTGTTGTTTTGTGTTTTCACAGGTCTATCCAAGTTCAGCTGATCAATTTCAAGATCGATTGCTGTTTAGAGACAAGAGAATTCCAAGTGTGAAAGCACCCACCTTCCCTTACCACACACACTTAACGCAAAACACATTCCTGATGAGACACGTTAGAAACTTATTGGAGCTCAAATCCCACTTTGAAAAAGGACACTGAAAGTTTCGGTACGTGTCTGCAGGTCCCAGAGCGCCACGGATCTAGAGCTGGAAGCCGAAAGTCAGTAAATATTGATGGGCTGATGGGAATCGAGAAGCTGGGCGGGCGACAGCTGCACGTCTGAGTTTCCTAGTGATAAGGGGTACGGGTTCAAGGGGTGCAGAACCAAAGGCCTTACGGTGACAAATACAGGTGGGGCAGTTCTGTCCACCCCCTGGCACGTGGGGCTGTTCCTCCCCAACCCCTGGGCAGCCAGCCCCACAGGTGCAGGCCGCCGCTGGCGAAGCCTGGAGTGACAGGGGACCGAGCCAGGCCCCTTCTCGAAGGGGGGAAGGGAGGGGACCCGGAACAGGAGCCATTTAAACCCCGCGCGGCTCCGGGAGCCAGCAGGGCTGGGAGCCGCCGCAGAGGGGCCGGGACCGCGCACCTTCGCGTGTTCCGGAGCCCCCGTCCCGCAGGTGACCCAGGCAGACTCGCGCCCCCGGGTTGGGGACACGATTGGGCTGCCCCTCCGGCGCCCCCAGCCCCGACGAGAACGCCCGCCCCGCGGCCACCTTTGGGCTGTCAGCGTGAGGGCCCCGCGGCCGCCTCACCTTGGTGATGACCAGCGGCTCGCCGTGCTCGCGGCCGCCCTTTAGGGTGAAGCCCCACGGGGCGCCGCCGCTCAGCTGCACCTCCACCAAGCGCCCGCCGTCGGGCGCCCGCGCCTCGGCCTCGGCCAGGCGCTCGGGCCGCGCGCGGGGCTCGGCACCGTCCATGGCGCGGAGAGCGGAGGCGGCGCGGCCGCTCAGCCCCCAGGGCCCGTCCGGCCCGCGCCCATGCACTCGGAGGAGCCCCGGCCGGCGAGGGCGAGGGAAGGTCCGGGCGCTCCCGCCGCCGCCGCCGCCGCCGCCGCCGCCGGCCACTGGCGAACCTGCACGGCAAGTCGGGAGGGAAGTGCCGGCCGAGGCCGGGGAGGGGGCCGGGCGCGGGCGGCGCGGGGCGCGGGGCAGGGCGGGCCGGGCCGGGGGCGGGGCCGGCGCGCTCCGGGGCTCGGGAGCGCTGCCCGGAGGGTGGGAGGGGCGGAGGAGGCGCGCGCTGCGGGACCCGCGCGGCCGCCGGGGCTGGCGGGGCTCGGGGCGCTCGGGCGCAGGGGCGCGCGCCCGGGGCTCCCGAGCGGCCCCGGGGGTGGGAGGGGGCGGGGGTCGGCGCGCGCGCGGGACCTGGGCCGCCGGCTAGGGGTGGGCGTGCGCGCTCGGGACGGCCCCACTAGTTACCCCGGGGGTGGGAGGGGGCGGGGGTCGGCGCGCGCGCGGGACCTGGGCCGCCGGCTAGGGGTGGGCGTGCGCGCTCGGGACGGCCCCACTAGTTACCCCGGGGGTGGGAGGGGGCGAGCGCCGGCGCGCGCACGAACCTGTGCGGCTCGCCGGGTGCAGGAGCGCGCCCCGGCCCCGCCGCCCCAGTTCCCCGGAGGGTGGGAGGGGGCCGGGGCGCGCGCTCCAGCCCCCGCGCGGCGCGGCGCCGCGGGGTCGGGGGGCGTTGGGCGGCGACGCGACGTCCGGCCCTTCCTGCCGCGCCAGCGCCGGGCGGCCCTGGGAGGCTCGGGGCGCGCCAGCCCTCCGCCCGGGGGGCCGAGTCGCGGCAGGTGAGGCGGCGGAAGCGCCCGCGCGGGGCGGGGCGGGCCGGGGCGGGGCGGGCGGGCGGGCTGCGGTCCGAGTGCCCGGCGCCCTCCATCTTGGAGCGCGCGGCCGGCCCGGCGCCCCCGCCTTTGTTCGCGCGGACGGCGGGCCGCCCGCGGCCGCCCAGGTGAGACCGGAAGCGCAGCGGGCGGCTTCGCGCGGGTCCCTGAGCCACCAGCCTGTTCCCGCGCCGAAGCGCTCTGCCCCCAGGCCCGGGCGTGGGGCTGGGGCGGGGGGCCCCGGGAGCCCTCCACGCACCTACACCGCCCCGGCCCTCCCCGAGAGCCTCCCCCGCCGTGCAGCCCGGGCCCAAGCGCTGGCTCTCGGAGGCTGCTCTTGAAGTCCGGGCGGAGGAGAGGGCGCCTGACTCCTTCCCGTGAAGGACTGCCCGTCCTCCCACAGACTCCCTGCTGCAGCGCCCAGCCCAGATAAGGAATAGCTTGCCTCTTGGCCTTTCCCAGCTCTTTTTAGCTCTTCCTAGAGTTGCAGTCCAGGAAGTCTTTGCATTCAGAGCCTGCTCTCACTTTGGTAGGGCAGTGCCACGAGGTCTCAATGTCCCAGGGCTGCGTTGCCTACAAAGGAGAGGTGGTGGTCTGAAAATACGGAAAGGGTGTGCCACCTATTTTCTGCCCCTTTTCAGCTTACATGGAAGTTGGGTATAAAGAAATACTCGCACTGCTAGGAATTTGCATGTTCGCAAAAAAAAAAAACCTTTTTATTTCGTTTGTAGTTACGTAGCTGGACGCTGGTGATTGCCTGTTTCTCCAAAGCAGCTACCTCCAGGTACTTTGAGCCGGTGAGGATGGAATAGGCGGCAAGAAAAAGCTCAGAGACCACTGGTCAGAAAGAGTGAGGGGTTCCTGTCACTGTGGAGCAGGGACAAGGAACCTCAACTCCGGTCTCAGGGTCTTCAGTGGTCACGTGAGGGATTTCCATTCTGTGGCCTGCATCTTGTGGCGGATCGTTTTGTGTCTCATCCACGCAATTGAAGTAAGAGTGCAAACTTCACTGGGCACTTGTCATGGCCCTGGGCAGTGATTACTGCCCCATAAGTAACTTCCAAGCTACAGTGTCCAGAATGTCTCCAGTTAGGGGAATGAGCTGATTTTTTTTTTTTTTGTAAACGGAGACTTAAGGAGTGTGCCTGTTAGAATCCATCTTAAGTGTACCTTGACTGTCCTGGTAATGCAGATCTGCACAAATTGATTAAATTGCACAGAACTAAATACACAGGAGTACGTGTAAAATGAGGAAATCGAAATAAACTTGGTAAATTGTATCTGTTAATATTCTGACTGACGTGCAGGGTAGAGGATGTGCCTCTATTGTTTCTTAAAACCACGTTGAATCTGTAATTATCTTCAAATAAAAAGTTTATTTTAAAAACTGGACAGATACGGGGCGCCTGCATGGCTCAGTTGGTTGAGCGACTGCCTTCGGCTCAGGTCATGATCCTGGAGTCCCGGGATCGAGTCCCGCATCCGGCTCCCTGCTCGGCAGGGAGTCTGCTTCTCCAAACTCTGACCCTCCCCCCTCTCATGCTCTCTCTCTCTCATTCTCTCTCTCAAATAAATAAATAAACTCTTTAAAAAAAAAAAAAAACTGGACAGATTATGAGAAACCAAAAGATAGAGGACCATATAAATGCACCTACAATTTTTGGAAGTTCGGTAGTCTCAAAACAGCTCCCCCACCCCTCCCCTTGGTATTAACTGAAATCTCAGCCATTAACTGGGGCTGAAATTCAGACCACTCGATTCACTAAAGCAGAGACAAAGATTTCATTGTGTCTATAAATCACAAAGTCATCTTTAACATTTTATGTTGATTATATGAGATTATCTATCTGCCACTTGAAAGGGTTACAGTGTTCATTCCTTAAATATAGGTGCAGGTTTACACTTATCCTTACTAAATTACCATTTTGCTGAGTTTTTTTCTTAATCTTCACACTAGGCATCTCTCCTGGATTAGCATTATTCGAGTATTTATAAGGCTGCTGTCTATATAGACATTCATAAATATACCAGAAGGGACTGGACCAAGTCTGTGTGGCCTGCTTTGAGATAGATGCCCTCCTCTCAGACCCTCTTAAATTCTTTCATTGATACTCTTGGGTTTATATAGCTGAGCATATCTACTATCACACCTAGACTTCTGTATCATGTCCATTAAATCCTTACTAGACACTGTCACATATCTTGGAAAATATCAGTATCTTGTGATGGAAGGCATTGCCCCAATTTATTAACCCTGCTCCCCTTTTGGAAGAGTTGGGTAAGACACTGAACCAGTGTGGACTTAGAGTGGTGATGGCTTTCTTTTCTAAGAACTCAACTGAGCCAGATTTTCCAAGGATGGTATATATTTCTCAACATCTAGCTTTTTCTTTTGGAAGGCCAGGGCCAGATATCTTCTGACTATTCTCAGCATTTCGCTTCTTGGACATGCAGCTTCATTGCTTGGAAGACCCGAGGGTGAGCATATGCTCTTCTGGACATGTAGAGCATGATCCTATGACCCTCTATATGTAGGCATTCAGTAGCCTTGGGTATGCCACATTTTCAGATCTGAGGCTTACTTCCTTTGATAGAGGGGAGATAGGTGAAATTAAAGGTAATTCTTTGAGGCGCCTGGCTGGCCCAGTCCATAGGGCATGTCACTCTTAATCTCGGGGTTGTGAGTTTAAGCCCCATGTTGGATGTGGAGATAACTTAAAAAGAAAGGTAGTTCTTTCACTTTATCAATAGTGAATGAATCAATCAATGAATAAAAGGCAAATTGAACCAGCTTTCAGCTTTCCTTTTTATGAAAGAGTTAAAATTATCTTAGTTTTTTGTTCTAACAAGAAAAGAGATTTTTAATTATAAAATGTAGTGGAGGATGGAGTTCCAAAATTTTGCCTTTATCTTTCAAACTAGTAGCTCAGGATGGTCAAGCTTTCCAGAACATCTGTGGCAATTTTTTTAAAGGCAGTTTCGGCCATTTTCTTTTCTTTTTTTTTTTTTTTAATTTATTTATTTGACAGAGTGATAGCACGAGTAGGCAGAGCGGCAGGCAGAGAGAAAGGGAGAAGCAGGCTCTCTGCTGAGCAGGGAGCCCGATGCGGGGCTCGATCCCAGGACCCTGGGATCATGACCTGAGCCGAAGGCAGCCGCTTAACCGACTGAGCCACCCAGGCGCCCCTCGGCCATTTTCTACTTTAGCCACTATGTGCCTGAGCACAGGTGTGAGGACAGCTAAAGGAAGACGTTGACGCAATGGCTTTGCCCTTCATCACCATCATCATTATATTGTCATCTTGATACCTACAATCGAATGTTAGAAACATTGGAATTTCACTTAGCTGCAGATCTTGGCCCGGTGACAGAAGCTGAATGCTGCACAACTCTGCCCCCATCGCCTCCCCCTCTCACCTGAGAAGGATTTTACCCTGGATCTTGTTGTTAGGATATTTACAGATCTCTAGGGGAAAACTTCCCCTTTCTGTGCAGGGGTGGGAGGGAGACTGCGGGGTCTTTACTTACGACTGACACCATTATCCTGTTCATGGACTCCACATTGGGAGTTTGCATCCTAGCACTCAGCGCCTTTAGTTGAGGAAGCAAGGAATTAGCAACTAAGGAGTAACCACCATTCACAGGGAACCTACTTTGTGCAAGGCACGTTACATAAATGGACTCAGGTCCAAAGCTACTTAGAGCAAGCATCACCCCATTTTACAGAGGAAGAAACTGAGCCCCAAAGTGGCTTAATACCCTGTTTGAGGTTGCTGAGCCCAGTCTTAAGAAGGACTGCTATTCTTCCCCTTGCAGGGACCAGTGCCAGATTGGATATGGCGGGGCAGTTTTCACTGAGCTGGTTAGTTGGCTTTCCTCTGTAAGACATTTAGACAGTGAGCCACCTTTTGAGGTTCCCTTGATCTCCAAACAGGAAAGACACTGAAGCCTCCTATGTGGAAACTTTGCCTATAAAACTGGATGCTAATTTAGGTTTGGTTGAGTTGCAATCCTGTTTCCTTGGAGACATGTCCTTTAAAGTATATGCAGGGGTGCCTGAGTAGCCCAGTAGGTTGAGCTTCTGACTCTTGATCTCGTCTCAGGTCTTAATCTTTAAGAAATATATATATAAAATAATACTTAACTTTTCAGATTGGGAGTATTTAGAGAGCTACTATTTTTTAAAAGTGTTTATATTTTAAAATGCAGTTTTAGGTGCCGCTGGGTGGCTCAGTCGGTTAAACATCCGACTCTTGATTTCGGCTCAGGTCATAATCTCACAGTCGTGAGATCAAGACCCGTGTTGGGCTCTGTGCTCAGTGCAGAGTCTGCTTGAGATTCTCTATCTCTACCTCTCTCTTTCTCTCCCCCTCCCTCCCTTTCCCCTTCCCGTCTGCTGCCTGCCCCCCCCCCGCCCCATGTACTGTCTCTTGCTCTCAAATAAATAAAATCTTTAAAATGCAGTTTTAGAAAGCCACTGGCTATTTTTCACTTTTTATTTTTTTATAAAGTAGCCAATAAGTACCTCTTGAGCACTTTTAACTTGCCCAGTACTGGGGAGTGGTCGCTAAGGAATGTAAAGGATGCAGGAAATATGAAACATTAACTCTAGCTAATGAAGAAAATATAATCGGAAAAAAAAACCAAAACAGAGCACAGTTACGTGCAAAACGACTTTTAACTGCAAAAGTTCCAGCAGGAGAGAAACCAAAGTAGAGAAGAAAAAAAAAAAGGAGTGAATACAACCATAGATGACATTTCTAAATTTTTCTTTCTTTCTTTTTTTTTTTAATTGTGGAAATGTCAGTTGAACACAAAAGTAGACGTCTTGTTTCATCCCTGCCCACTTTTTCCCCAAGAGTATTTCAAAACACATCCAGGACAGAATGACTAAGAGGAAATGGAGCCATGAGTTCCTGGGTGAGGACCCTGTGAGCAGAGGATTGTTCTTTATAGGGAAGTTGAAAGCATTGGGACTAAAAGGCTGAAACCTTGTTAATGAGTGCTGAAGTGCCCCTTGGGAATCTGTGCTGAGCCTCCACTCCCCTATCCCAGAGAGTGTGTGCATGGCAGGGGTGGGGGCGTCTAACAGCCCCAGGGGTCTCTGGCTGAAATAAGGGGGGGGGGGGCTGCTACCTGGAGATTATGGCTGGAGGGGAGGCAATAATGAGTTTCTGTGGGCAGGTTGAAATGGGAAATGCCTCTGGGATACTTTGTGAATTTTCTAAGGCTATTGTAACAAATTAACATAAGCTGTTTAAGACCCGTTTTTTCCTTCCTGGAGGCCAGAAGACTGAAACCAAGGTGTCAGCTCCTCAAGGTTCCTGGGTTTGTGACCCCATCAGTCCAACCTTTGCCTCTGTGGTCACCTGGCCTTCTCTTCTTCCTGGGTCCTGTCTCCCTCTGTCCCCTCCCTTTGTCGCTCTTTTAAAAGGTCACTGTGATTGCCTTTAGGGCCCACCTGGAAAATCAAGGATGCTCTCTTCATCTCAGAATCCTTAATCTAATCCTGTGTGCAGAGACCCTTTCCCCAAATAAGGTAACATTTGCAGGTTCCAGGGATTAGGACCCATCATCTTTGGGGAACGTTAGTCATCTTACTACAGATATCCAGGTGGAAATCACTGGGGTGTTCCAGGACAATGAATGGGACTTTCCTCCTTAGTTTGTAAGCATTGTGGCTAAAGCCCTGTTGGTGCTGATAGTTCCGAGTGAGTGGCAGAACAGGCCAGTTATCTGCCTGTCCCCAGGTGGTGGAGGGGGAAGGCTTGTCCCACCCTTAAGCCAAGTGAGAACTGCTCCCAGAGAATTCCTCATAAAGATTTGGGATATCTACAGGACAGAGACTGGCATCTCGTTCTCGGGTGGCATTTCTGGAAGTGCCGTATTGCTGATCAGCTCCTTGTGGAGACATGAACAGAAGGCAGCAGGGGGACTGAGGGCTCGGCAGTGGGTGGGTGGGTGGGCTCTCCCAAGTACACCTGGAGAATGTCGCTGCACATCCAATTATCCCAAAATTGACCAGCTTAAAACTGCAAACTGAGGCCTGACCCGGGACTGCTACTCAGGCCAACAGATCCCATTGGCCCAGATCCAAGCAAGGATTTTGAATGCTGGTGACTTCTTTGCAAGAGACAAAACAGTTTTACTTAGGGAATGGGTAGTGGGGGGTATAAATCATGTGTTACCCTTGTAATTCTTGAGATATAATCAAGGTCTCAAGATCTGAGTGGCTCCCTTAGTCATGCAGATGTTAGGCAGCCAAGTCTAGGATTCCTTCTCTCTCCCTGGGGTCCCTGAATGAGGTGGGGCATTATACTTAATGTAGAAGCGAGGGGTTTCCGGGAGGACAGAGACCAACAGTTTAAGTCCTGTTTCAAAACTCAAACTTAGGGGGAGTTGATGAGGGAAAGAGGGGTAAAAAAGCAGCCACACGTGTGGTCCGTGTCCACCATCCTCCGTGTGACCCTCAGCTGAGGTCCAAGGCCGAGAGCTGGCCATCAGAGATCAGCGCTCAGTCAGTGCAGAGCTTGGCGGACACGGAGTGGATGGGAGTTTTGACACCAGCCTGGCAACCTTACCTTCATTTAAAACATTGTATCTGGGGAAGATTCTTTTCAAATCTCAAACACCTTCCATGACCTAACCTGCTTGTAATTTGCCAACTAAATCACAGGATAGAAATATGATACCTGAGTCCCAAATACCGTCTAGGTGGTTGTAGCGAAAGCCAACACAAGCAATTTTCAAGCAGCAAAAAATAATTCTGTATGTGAGATTTCAAGACATCTTGAGAATGCTCAAAAAAAAAAAAATACTCCTCTTTCCAAATACAGCATGAACCTTCTGCTCCTTTGCTATGATATCATTTGTGTGATTGTGGAATGCCTTTTTACTTTGTACTGCACATTTTGAGAGAGAAAAACCCAGAAGAGGGACGCCTGGGTGGCTTAGTCTGTCAAGCGTCTGCCTTCGGCTAAGGTCATGGTCCCGGTGTCCTGGGATTGAGCCCCACATCGGGCTCCCTGCTTGGCGGGAAGTCCGCTTCTCCCTCTCCCTTCTTTGGTGTTGGAGGGACTGTTGATTCGGATGCGGGAAATTCCGTCACTGGCCACTGGCCAAAGTGCTTGTTTCAATCGAATCTTTCACCTGAACTCCAAGGAATGTAGACGTCTTTGACTAGCAATAGGAATAACAGGAAGGAACAGAGGCCGGCTGGCTGAAGGGTGGTAGAATTTTAACTACAATGGACAGATGTCTTCCAGGCAGACATAGGAAGTTTCTAAAAACTTAGTTGGTCGTGATGATTCCTTTTGCATAATTATACATGTGG